ACGTTTGAAAGTATGATCCAATAATGGAACGCTATACACGAGAGGGTGCGTGTTTTGTTCTGGGAAGAAGCGTGGCCTTTGTGTCTCATTGTAGCTATTAAATGGAATAAGGTATGGTCTTTCTTTATGTTTTTACGTTATGGAGTCATGTAGATAGTTTTACGCTCGATTTTCTTCAGCTTGATCATACATGGGCTTAAAAATAGAATTTGAACCATCTGTTAGGTGTTTGGGAGTCCTCCCAGGCTTATACTCCAGTACTAGGCCTTTATAGCATGTCCGTTTAGTCATTGTTTCTTTTTCAAGTAATGGATTAAAAAAGTTTTGATTGAATTAGTTTTAAGTGAAAGAACAAAATGATATTATTCATCATTATTTGTAGTAATTTTAAGTCGATGATGCCCCCCCCCTCTCCCACCCACTCCGCCCCCTCCCTCCCTCTCCGGCCCCCAGCACCATGATCACATGCAAACACCAAGCTGGGTAAAGCAAACTCCACAGAACAACGGGCTACAAAGACAGAGAGAAAACCATAGCAACAGACAGAAACCCCTTCAAAATATAAACAAATAAATAAAAACTGCTAAAAACAGCATCAGCAGAAGAGAAAACCAAAAGGAATCTTTGAATAAAACTACAGTAAGAAGCAAGACACATCACACACAGTATCGCTGAACATTGAGCAAAGAACGTCTGCGTTCCAGGAATATGTGTTTTATAACCCAGATTTTACTCCAAATGTTTTATTTTCACAACAAATACATTGTGTGCTTTGATTTTGTTTCTAAATACAATAGACTGCATTTTCACCACCCTGCTTTTCGTTTATGTTGTAATTTCAACTTATTGAAAGCGTATCATTACTCTTCGCAAAGCTCCAAAACACGCATTCTCTCGAGTATAGCGTTCCATTATTGGCTCAAACTTTTGGAGGCAACAAAAGTGAGACATTTATTTTATTAACTGATACAAAAGCAGTCTGAATCCTTTAATTCAGTGTACAAATGTATTTTATGTCCAAATTTTTGGAGAGGTCCTACATGAATGGGCTAAGCTCTAGCCAAGGCAAGTTTTTCCTGACAAGCTGGAATCAACTTTATTTATTTTATCATCCTAACATTAACTAGAACATTCATAAGTCGGTTGTCACACTCTCAGTTTTAGTTATGATATGTGAGGCAGCGTGGTGGAATCAGGCTCTCGTCAATTTTTGGGCATGTAGAGTTATTGGTATTATCTTAAAGCTTGCTACTTTGTCTTTATTAGGGTGAAAAAAATATCCATTTATATTGAATACAAGTCGAGATATTTGCGAATGAAGGGGGTAGAAATCATCTGTTTTCAGCGGTAAGATTAGTGAGAAAATGGCCGCCAAAGATTAGTTATTTCCTTAGTTTGAGAGTATGTGGTAGCTGAAAATTTTCATTTTTTGTGCCTTTAATCAACGTTTTTCAGAAAAATCCATACACAAATGAGTTCTTTAATGGGCATGATAAGTGTTGAGCCAAAAAACAAAAATATTTGGAAAAAATTCACAAACCTGTGGAAAAATGCAAGTTTCTTCACTTTGATTATTTTGACGAGAGCCTCATTCCACCACACGGCCTCACATATAATATTTATTATCGTTAAAGCCAAATTGTAACAATCAAAACATATTTTATTTAGTTTTACAAGCTAGTTGTGCATCTTTATACACGCCTTTGTACTGACTAAACTCCATCTAAGCTAAGCTCTCTCATGAGAAGGTTAAATCAGCCTTTTTTGTCATCCTAACTATTTAGTTTCTCGATGTGTCGGTTGTTACTCTCTCAATATTGTGCACATAATGTGTCATTTTTTGTCTTCCTAGTGGCAACACACTACGCGTCTTTGCTTTCTTAATGGTTCTGTCAAAGTTTTCTTTATCTTTCACTGTGTAATTTCAAGCCAACCAGCAAATAGCAAATAGTAACACGCTTTCAATCATAGACTGGTATAGTAGGGACATAATTAATTTTATTATTGGCACAAAAACTTCTTAATTCCCTGAAAGAGGACAATCTTTGATTTATTTTTTATGCAAAAGAGCAGCTTGGTGATGCCAATCAGGCTTGTTATCAATTGTTATTCCAAGATATTTGTAAAAATTGGAACCCGGAACTTATTGAATGAGAGGCGGACACCTTAACCTCTAGGCCTCGAGAGCCCCCGGCAAGAGTTTACTACCCCCACCTCCTGATATATCGATCGTTTGACTCTCAGGTTTAGTTAGTGTTTTAGTATGGGGTTTTACGGCGCTCGCTACTGCAAAAGGTCATATGAGCGCGCGAAGCACAAGTTAGTTCTATTCGCAACAGTTCACTGTACGGCTGGGCTCGGGTTAGTAGTTTGATCTTAAAATGTTAAATGTTTATAAAATTTAGTATAAATATATTTTCAATCTACAACTTTCCTAAATAACATAAAAATATTTAATATTTTAATTTCATTCTATGATATCCCATAAAGGCAAATGGCCTTCAAAAAATCTAAAATTCTGTTGGGAACAACGACGGAAAAAATGTCTTGTAATTTTTTGCATTTAAAGTATTTCCTTCGGGTCTCTCTGAAGTCTAGACATTCGGTTAAAATAATAATATGTCTAAAGGTAAAATCTGTGTCGCATCCGACACAGAACGGCTTCTCTTCTGCCTGAAGGAGGTATTTGTGTGCTAGGGCTCTGTGTCCGATGCTTAATCGAGTAAAAATGACTTCGTCTCTTCTGGAGAGGCCCCAAGGATTTTGCGGTCCCAGTTTGGGTTTAATATTGTGAAGTTTGTTATTTGTTTGTTTTTTCCAATGGCTCTCCCACAGACTGGAGGTGCACTTTTTGACTTCTATTATCTATTTGTGGTGATCGAATTTTGCTATTCAAAAGACTTTTTAATGGCTGATGCAGTTTTCACCAAAAGATTCTTCAAAATATTCTCCAGATTATGACACCCTTCGGTTTTTTTCAGTTTTGAGACAGCTTTGCTGCAAAAAGCTAAATTTCTTTATTTCACCGATCGCCTTTGTAGGCCGATGCTTCTATCTCTGTAATTTTAGAAAATCCGGAGCGGAAGTGATATTTTGCTTGGCGCATTTTGTTTTGAGAGTATAGATCTAGTTGTAGACCTAATTTTTTTGCATCTCTTATATTGCACCATTCCAGTAGAGTCTAAATATAGTAGGCCAATGACTTTCAGTTGATGTTAATGCACCGATCATTCGTTTCCTCGAAAGGGGGCCCAGCTAGTTATTTTTAAAGTCGGTCTGTGGGAGAGTCTTCGTCGTTGATCCCAACTGAAGGGATAAGGATATCTTTGCCAGGTGATCTACCTGCTCGTTTCCTCGGATGCCCACATGGCTAGGTATCCATGCGAACACGATACTTTTCCCTTTTTCAGTCAAAGTGTTTATTATTTTTTTTGTAGCCCAACTATTTTTGGGTGTAGGAGTTTGTAGTTTGTGAGTGAAGTGAAGCAACACAGAGAGTCAGAAAGGATAAGGAAAAATTTGTTAGGAGAATTTTTTCTATGGAGTCCAGTGCCATGTCAATAGCAGTGGCCTCCGCCGAGAAAATGGAGACTTCAAGATGGAGTCTCCTATGGCGTGTACTATTTGAAGATAGGGCTGCGGCGCCCACATCAATGTCTTCTTTGGAGCCATCTGTGAAGATGAGCTCCCCACCTGGATATTTTTTTATAAGTCTTTTTGTATTCTGCTTTAAATGTTTTGGTGTTTGTGTTTGCTTTGTCGTGTGTGGTCAGCTGTAAGTCTACTTTTGCCTTGGTGAGGAGCCCCGGAGGTCGGGGAAAAGAAATTGTTGGATGTCTTGTTGGAAAATTGTTTGTTTGTTTTTGAGGTCCTCAAGGACTCTGAGGCCGTAGGGTTTGAAGAGTTTTTCGTTGTTTTGGAATTTGTTTATTGTTTCTGGTTTTGTTTTAAAAACGCAGTTGTGTACTGGGCTCTCTGGTGTTGAACTCTGTTTAATTAGTATTGTAGTGAGAGTTGTGTGCGTCTAAGTGTGAGTGATGGTATGTTTGCCTCGGCCTGGAGGCTGGTGAAGTGCGGAAAGCCCCCCCAGAGCGAGGTGGAGTCCTTGGTTTGGCACTGGTCTAGCATTTTTAGGATGTGTGGTTTTGCTGATCCGTAGACATGACAGCCGTAGTCAAGCCTGGATCGGACAAGGAAGATGTATAAGTAGAGAAGGTGTTTTGAGTCCACGCCCAACTCCGGGTGCGATAGAACTTTCAAGGCGTTTAACGCTTTCTGGCACCTCACACGAAGGCCTTTGATGTTTGGTATGATGTGAGTTTTTTTTCAAACATAACGCCGAGGAAACGAGCCTTTCCATAGATCTTAGATGAGGATTTTTCGAACGACAGCATATCAAAAAGTCGTCAACGTATAACGTATGCCCTTTTTGGAGGGATTTTACGAAGGAATCTGATTTAGTTATGGTCTATTTGATTTTCTGTTTGCAAAGTTGTGACAACCATGTTTTACAACCCACACGTGCTTCTTTACAAGCACATTTTCACTATTTAAATTCTACCAGAGCTTAATTGTGTCCAGAAAATTTATAATCAAACTTATTTTTTATTATTCTAAAAACTTTAGCGCTTTTTGAAGGGAAAGTAGTATAGTACTGATTGCGTTTGGACTTACTTTACTACTGGGTATTAATAATTCGTCCTAAACAAAATGTACCTTTCCAAATAAAAAGGCACCGAGAATGGGTGAGTCGTTGGTTTATTTTGGAATTATGCTTAACCATGGAGCGGACGTCCCTTGTTCAAGTCCACAAACATTGTTTTCTGAAATTTTGTTATTTTGAGGAGTTTTTAAGCAACCCCACACGTTGTGCTCTGTCACATAATAGATGGATGTTTAATTCTGAGATCCCATCTCATAAATAACATAACAGTGTCGAAAGTGGAGTTAAATCTATACATTGGCATAGGTTTAAAGAAAAAGTCGGAAGCAATGCTAAATATATTTTGAGCTCACACACGTTTATTACATTTAGGACAATTGTTTTTTAAGCCTCTGCCGTGTCCATGGCACAAAGAAAATGCCGAGATCACGTGTCTGTAGTGGTAGCCTTGACTGTATTCTGAGTCCTAGGGCTGTGAGCTTATACCTGGGGAAATATAGGACGGTGTTTTGATTGTATTATAATAGCAAGAATTAAAATCAATAGTTATGATAATTACAACGATGATGATGATGGTGATGTTACCACTACTACTACTACTACTACTACAACTACTACTACTACTACTACTATTATTATTTTTGATAATAATAATAATAATAATAATAATAATAATAATAATAATAATAATAATAATATTTTTATTATTATAATAATAATGCAAATAATAATAATAATAATAATAATAATAATAATAATAATAATAATAATAATAATAATAATAATAATAATTATTATTATTATTATTATTATTATTATTATTATTATTATTATTATTATTATTATATTGTTAGGGTAGATCTTTCCTCATCAGTTTGGAAAAAAATGATGAAACGTGACTTTTTGAGAAAGACAAAGAAAGACCATCAAGGCCATCAGGAGAGGCTTCAGAGACATTGCTGAAGCCCAGGAAGGGAATATGTACACACCTTGGGATCATTAACGGCTTTCAATGAGTGAAAACACAAGAAAATTAACATTCATGTTTTTCCGCAAATCAGATTTTTCTTGTTGTTACTAAACTTCCATGCATGATATTTGTGTGAATGTTTGTTCAATTTATCTGAAATTTAACATTAATGCTCGTAACATGTAAGTACAGAGTCTGGGGGAAAAAATGAAAAATCTAGAATTAGTCACAGTTGTTTTTTTGTCTTCTTGAAAATGTCAGTGCAAGCACTTACCTTTTATATCAGAATATATTTGTTTTAAGGGAAAAAAGATAAAACAAAACTATTTTATAAAATGTAAAGATCATAGCACAAGCCTTTAAACTATCTCTTAAGAATATACATGCCAAATTTCAAGTCAATCAATATGTTTTTAATTGAGTTATGATGTTTGGAAGTTTTTGTTTATTTTAGCAATACGGCAGCCATATTTCGTAACCCTTTGCACATTGTTTTCAAATTGCCCCCAAAACATGATATTGAACCATCTTGGGCACAAAAATGTTGTTGAAATTATCATGTATGACTGAGATGCTATTTTAACCCAACTGGGGATAGACCTACCTTAATGATAAAAGTAATAGTAATATTGATATAAAAGATAATAATATTAAAGATAATATTTGACAATAATAATAATAATAATAATAATAATAATAATAATAATAATAATAATAATAATTATTATTATTATTATTATAAAATATAGTAATAAAATTAATAATAACACTAATAATATATTTTTAAAAAAATTATTATTATTATTATTTTTTGTCTGTCAATATATGACTATTACCAATGTATATGCAGATGTGAATCTCTTCAAGCGAAAGTGTTAAGGCAACTAATGGCAACTGTTATGGCTGAAAAGACCAATTCTGGCAGAGAAAATTTTGCAACAATTAGAGTTCTTTGAAGTTTCATTTCCACTCTTAGATGTGTGTAAATACTTATATTTTAGTCAAACATGTTTTATTTTCAAGAGAATTTGTTCTATTGTAAAGTAAATTGTCAGGACACTCTTTCTGTCTGTCTACGTTTCTTTGAAAATAATGTTATAATACAGTGGAATAAGGTGCATGTGTATTTTGGACATAATATGAAGTTATTGTTCTCTTCTTAAGGCCTGCTCGTTTATCTTGGTTTTATTATTTAAAGAAAAACTTGCCTTAGCCATAGATCTTTAATAGAAGTTGAGATATCTGCTTTGTATGAGGTGGTGAATGACCTCTTGTCCGAGACAAAATTAGGAAGAAAATAGCCACCAAAATTTTGTGATTTCAAAGTCTCCCATGTCCTTTGAAACTTCAAAGGTCAATTTTTCTCGTAACACGCACAAACACACACACACTCACACACACACACACACACACACACACACACACACACACACACACACACACACACACACACACACACACACACACACAAATACACAAACACACCCATGATAAGGCGAAATAAAAGTAACTGCATGAATGCCGGGAATAATTATTGTCGGAAACTTTGAATATTGAAAAAGTGGAAAATTCTAGTAGCAAAATCAAAGCTGAACAAGCTGATTTTCAATTTTCAATTTTGAAAATATTTTGAGTTGTTTTAAAATATGTCACGTACTTTTGCAACACAGAATGTAAAAGAAAATTTGGAGAAATATTCAATTTCTAGCAATTTTGTCACATCTCGTGAATCACAACTGTTGCAATAATAACATACTCAATTTAAAAGTCTAATCATAAATACCCTTTCAATATGCCATTAAGAAAAGGTTAAATGTGTGTTTTCTTATAAAACTAAATTTTTCACCAGGTACGCCAGTGGAAAATCGTCTATATAATCAAATAATCACTGCTTCCCTTTCTAATATTTAAACATTGTCGTAGTCAAATTCACCCATAGACGTAAACCTCTTAAATTAAACGTAAAAAGACGTTCAAAATCTCCGATAAACAGTATGCTTAACATTCAAAACGGTTTCATTGCCCCAGAAATAGCTTGTTCACCCCGATTTAGCCACTCCATAAGCAGTCGCAAGCTCTGATTAAGTAATCTTAAAGTGAGGCTGGCAGAGTCTACCAAAAGAGTTGGAGGGAATGTGTACAAAACTGTCACATACACCCTGTTCACCCCTTTCGGGCAAATAGTAAGCAGTCTCACAAGCACCGATTATGTAAGCTAACTATTACATTGGTCGAGTCTACCTCCCAGATGTGAGGTGAACTAATTCCTAATATTACTACTAATGATATCTTGACTGCTGCGAGTGCTTGTTTTTTTCCTCGACTTTTTATAATCAGATCGTGACCTCGATTATGACACCTGCTCCTGCCTCGAAAAGCTAGACAAAAACAACCAAATGTGAAATAAAAAAATTAATAACTGTCATGCTCTACCAAAGAGTTTAGACTCATTGATATAACAAGTAGTACTTGCATCTCTGCTTCTTTCCTTTGGGTTTGTGTTTTCACATCTAAAGGTGAATGTGATGTAATGTAAGTTGGAATAAATATTTAATAAAATACTTTCTCGATTATTTTAGCTTTAGCGGTTGAACATTGTACAACATGAAATTAGGATTTGTTTTCATTCACAACTCAGCGTTGCCGCCTCGAGTATAATTCTTGTGTGATATCTCCAGGCCCTATTTGGTCCCGTCTCACTTTGATTACCCTGTCAAACAAGTCAGCCTTCGCCCCTGGGTACTTTTCTCTCCTTGCAACTCCGTTGGTCAAAAATAAAGCTTTACCAACAATTGGGATTTTTCATCAGGCACATACACATATTATGTATCTTTGATTTAATTTTTCTAATGCCAAGAGCCTGCTTCCACCACGTTGTAACACAAAAATCTTGTTCCTATCCTGTCAATTAATTTACTGTCCTGTCCTGTCAAATGTTTTAATGTCCTTTCAAATAATTCAAAGTTCAGTCAAATAATTTAGTGTCCTATTCCTGTCCTGTCTAATGTTACATATACTTGCGTAAACAAAGGCGATGCCACTTACCTACGTCACGGTAATTATCCGAATTGGGGGAACCCTGTGAATTGAATACCGGTGAATGTCAGAGATAGTGAAGGCGGGGCTGGGGGGGGGGGGGGATTGGGGGGTGAGGAGGTGTGAAACGGAGGATGGTAATATAAAGAGAGGGGGAGGGAGAGTGACAAAGAGACACAGAGAGAGAAAGAGAGAGAGAGAGAGAGAGAGAGAGAGAGAGAGAGAGAGAGAGAGAGAGGGGGGGAGAGGTGAGAGAGCGATCATGAGATAAAGAGATACACAGAGAGAGAATGGAAAGGTAAGAGAGAGAGAGAGAGCGAGAGATAGAGAGAGAGAGAGAGAGAGAGAGAGAGAGAGAGAGAGAGAGAGAGAGAGAGAGAGAGAGAGAGAGAGGGAGAGACGGGGGGGGAGAGCAATAATGAGCCAAAGAGATTCAGAGGGAGAGAATGTGAAAGTAAGAGAAAGAGAGAGAGAGAGAGAGAGAGAGAGAGAGAGAGAGAGAGAGAGAGAGAGAAAGAGGGAGAGGGAGAGAGAGAGAGGGGGGGGGAGTTGAGTGCAAGTGGTGCCTATTCCCCCTTGACCTTCAGCTGCGTCCGAGTCAAACAGCCTTCTCCACAGAAAACGGCAATTACGCCAAACTACACGATCTATGCTAATAGCACAAGTCTATGGGAGCTTCTAAATTATCTCTCTTCAACCAGCTTTCATCTTTGTTGACATCAAAGATCCTGAGCTTTTTTTTTTCTAAAATAAGAAAAATAAGAGCAAAACAACGTTTGCTTTACAATAACAAAGTATATGTCGTAAACAGGACTGGGTAGCTTTTAGAAGCTCCTCCACATAATTTTTGGCTTTACTTAAAAAGTCGATGAAGTCTGTGACACACAAATTGAACCAACTATGTAGTTTCAAAATCTGGGCTCTCTTTGCAAGGAGAAAGGGAAAGGAATGTCCACACCCACTCTTCCCTCCCACCATTGGGCAGTCTTTGGAAGGGTTTGGGTTGGGGGGGGGGAGCCTACAACAGGCGACAAAGGCTAGAACAAATCTAATGAATTATGTAATCAAAAACCAACACATAGATAAATGCATTGTTATTCATAATGTATTATTACTCTCTGACCATCTTCGGACTGACGTTTCATTGTACCAACTCACTTACGCTCTCATTGTCGATGATTGTCTAATATGAAATATAATGAATAACAAGGCACTCAAAAGAAAGACAAAGGACTACAAATGAAAAGAACAAACAAACACAACAAAACCCTTTCTGATGTGTAGGTGGATGTTTGTTGATGCTCGAAGAAAAGAAAATTTGTTCCTTAATCTCTACTTGTGAGGGGAGACTTCTTAGGCAAATTTGAAAGTGAATGGAGACATAATCCGGAATCAAATCTTACCGTTTTGTTGGAATCTCCCTGGGAATTGGAAACCTCCTTGAGGGGGTGAGGGCATGCCGAATGGACCTTGTTGAGGTGCGGGCATGCCAAATGGGCCTTGTTGGGAAGGGCCGAATGGACCTTGTTGAGGTGCGGGCATGCCAAATGGGCCTTGGGGAAATGGGCCTGAAGGAGGTGGTGGGAATGAAAACGGGGGGAGGGTACCATTGGGTGGAGGTGCAGGGAATAGAGGGAATGTGCCGTTGGATGGGGGTTGAGGAAATTGAGGGTATGTGCCGTTGGGTGGGAGCTGAGGAAATTGGGGGAAAGTGCCATTTCCTGGAGTAGGGTTCTGAGGTGCCTGGCGTTTGACCAAAGCTGATGTGGCTACAGCCACGCAAAGTGCGGTGAGGAAAATCACGGAGTTCTGAAATCAGAGAGAAAAAGTCGATAAAGTAAACATTGAACTGCTCCATGAATATCTTTCATTTTGTTGAACCAGATAGGAAACTTTGATAAAGTATGTTTACAGATAAAATTACAATTGGAAAGTTTGAGGAACTAAATTGAAAAAAGAAGCATGGGGAAATTGTATAGGTGTTCCGCCTCTAGCAAAAATGTAATGATATTCATGTTTAAGAGACTAGGCCTTTTAATTTAAAGCCCATGCCAAAATTAAACAGAGGCAAATGGAAGCGTGTCTATTAGCCAAACCAATGGACTGCCGACTATTTATGTTCATCATCTTAAGCATGAACAAGGTCTGAAACAGATCAACGAGTATATTGGTCTGTCTGCTGGGATGTTGCACCTCCCTCACATACCCTGACACGGTTGTGAAAGCCAACCTCCTAAATCCTTTAAATTGTGTCTATTTCCACACTTGCAAATTTAATATACCAACCAATTACAGACCGTGGAAGAGGCTATGTTTTAGAAAACGTTTTATGGCAATTGCAACATAATTAGGCCATACGTACTGAAGATTAGAGGTGCTACATCAAGAGTAACAAAGTCAAGAAGAGAGTAATGAAGGCACTGTGCTACTCACCATTGTTTCTGAAGGACCCAGGAGTGTCGGTGTTTTGAGTAGGGTGTCCGCTGTGATTATATAGTCGTGAGAGACGCTAGAGACCTCTGACGTCATTGTCTCTGGGTAAACAACTAGCATGGACAGGTTGTGACGTTCTCAAGGATACGTGAGCACAAATGTGATGATGTCAATGATTCCACAGAATAAGGAAAAGACTGACGGTGGAGACTTCATAATTATACTTAGGAACGGTATTGGTGTCACACTTCTTTTAGTACCAGTGTCTGTGGTGTAGCAGATGAGTGCTTCTCCGATTAAGGCAGAAAACCGAAGCTCGATTCCTGTGTTGATATATTTTTTTAAATGCATTATGTTTTCTGAATCTCCGCCTGTCTGCAGGAAGGGTGTATCCTTCCTGCTTAGTCCAGGTTAAACCACACGCTATAGATGGATTGTTCTAAAGATACAGTCCAGTATAAAATAATGAAACAGTGAACCTTTATGAAAAGAAAGATAGCAATCTTAATTTCCGGGACATTCATTCGATTCATTATACAGTGGTGTCAAAAAAGACTTGAAATGTATTTACGCAATCTTCGTGTTAAAAGATTTGAGCTACCCGCTTCTGAAGCATACCACTTTAAAGCAAAATAAAATGCGTATCATCTGACACATTATTTTTTTATTTTGGATTAAATTCGCACGAGATTTGGTCACTCAAAGTTTAAGTTTCTTTGATTTCACACAATTTTGCCAAGTCTGTTTTTTAATGGTTAATTTTGAGTGACCATATCTCGTACAACTCTACTCGCAGATGAACTATTAATGTCTCAAATGGTGTAGAATTCATTTTGGTTTAAATTGGTATGCTGCGTGAGTGAGTAATCCGAAGCTATATTAAAACGATTTGAGAGTTTCCATTTTTTTGGTTGTGCCATTGTTCAAGTTGAGCTTGCCCCAAACGCTCCCTCTGTCTTTGTTTCCACTTCTGAATGGTGTATTAATGACTTGTTCGTGGACATACACAAGAACCAATTTATTTTTTTATATTTTTTTTATCTAAAGAGTAGAACATTAACATTTTTGTCTGTCGCGATCTATGCATCGTTTGACATTGTTCTTGAACTCTGTCATAATTATAAGTGGTTTTCTGTTGTTTTTGTGTGTTTCCCTTTGGTAAATATTTCTATTTCTACGGCCCAATCCCAACTTAAGAAGACAAATGAACAAACAGAGCCAGAGGTTAAAGTAAACCCCTATCAGCAACTGAACAAATACACGTGAGGAACTAATGGTATTTTTATGATTTGCGCGTGTGCATACACATAAGCCAGTCTACAATTATTATCATTTAGAAGGCTTGCATTTAATGATTTTGTCTGTCGTTACCGATATATTATTATAATTTCAATCTTGTTCTTGAACTCAGTCCTAGTTATTGGTTTTTGTTTTGTATAAGCAAAAGAATTTAGAAACACTACGGTCGCTCCTCCCACTTCACCTCTGCCTCATTCTCATCATCATCATCATCATCATCATCATCATCATCATCATCATCATCATCATCACTTAATGTTCAAGTTTAGTTTTTTAGTTTTTCCGAAACGAACTAGAAATGTTTTAATGATTTTTTTTTCTTCAGGTTGTATTCAAATTTGCAAAAAGAAATCGTGAAAATCCACACTTCAGACACCACAAAATAAATACATTATATATATTAAAAAATTCAACAGACATATTTTTAGTATTACATCTGCTCTTCATTCAGTGAGAATTTCATGAATATTGGAAGAAAAATGGTGGAGTTATTCAAAGAGTTCATAGAAAAACCGCGTTTTGAGAAAACGGGCGATAAAGAAATAAAAAAAGATTGACGTAACGAGGAAATGGTTGTGAAAAACTTGCCCGGTATGAGAATAAATAAGACTTTAGAGGGTTCTAATGCTATGAAATAGTTGTGAGAGAGGATATTCGAAGAAACTAAACTACCTACAACTCAAAATCCATAATTTTCAGCCGAAACAGGACTTTTGGTGTGTACGCCCCCCCCCCGCCCCCCCTCCCCCCCCACCACCCGCCACCTTTCTCATAAGATGATACAAATAACTCCAGATGCGTAAACATTGACGAGCGCCTGATTCCACCCTGTCGTAACACATTTGTTTTAATACCTACGTATGTATCTTTAAAAGCACCTTTGTGCTGAATAAACTCTATCCAGGCCAAATGTTAGTATGAGAAACTGAAATCAGCCTTTTTAAAAAATAATCCTTAATACGTTTTTAACCTTGCTATGTCGGTCGTTTCTCTCTTTGTTCTAATTATACTCTCTTCATTTTTGTGTATGAACATTCGAAAAAAACCCAACATGTCTCTGTTTTTAGTGCCTATGTGTGCATTTTTTGAAAGCACAGTTAAGTCTACTCCATTAACATCTCGAGTTCTTATGCTCAGTGGAACTGTAATTGTAAATGGGTTCATTTGTAAATATCATGCTCATAACTGTGCCTGAACTGCAACAGGAAACTGCTGCTTTTTCTTTCGTAATCCTTACTGTCTTCATTTTTTCCTCTACTTCTTTTTGTATTTTTGTCACACTCTTGTGACCCGCTTTTTTTTCACTGTGCCCTGGTAGTCGAAGCAGACTTTGTGCTGTTGAAGCTAGAGAGGTGAGCAAAGTAAGTATGATTCCCTGTAAAGACTTCTCTATTGACATACACCCCTCATATGACCGTATGTACTTGCGAGGGCCGTAAAACCTCTACTTAAACAAATGAACAGTTCACTCCATCCAAGGCAGGATGTGTCCCGCTTAGCTGGAATCAGCCATATTTATCTTTTTAAATTCTCAATACCAAATTACCTTTATGTGTCGTTCGTTACACTTATAGCTTTAATTATGATCTTTTTGAAGGTTTTTTGGGGGCCAAGTTGAAACAACGAAAAAATATCTCTTTTTACAACCAATATGTGCATTTTTTGTACAAGCATTTTTTGTTCTATTGTACTGACTAAATATCTCCAAGCTAAATTGTGTCTTGAAAAGATGAAACCTGGCTTGTCTGTCATCATACTAAATACGTCAATACCTTAATATGTCAGCTGTTACATTCTCTGTTACATTCTCAGTACGACATATAGTCTATTAATTTTTGTGGATTCCTAGTTTTAACATTCAAAACAAAATAATTTGTCTGTTTTCATAACTTACGTGTGTGTCTTTACAAGTATAGTATTGATTTGCACTGAATAAACTCTATCCCAGCTTAGTGGTTTCCTGTGCAGCCGGAATCAGTCTTGTAAAAAATAATCTTATGAACCTAAATACCTTGACATGTCGATTGCTACATTCTCACTTTTAGTTATGATCTTTTTATTTGTTTTATTTGTTTCAACCAACGTGCTTTTACAGTCTACGGTTACAACCAACGTGCTTTTACAGTCTACGTATTAATCTTTATAAGCATTTTTGAACTGGGTAAACTCTATCTAAGCCTATTGGTGTCCTGAAAATGTGGAAGCAACCTTTTTTTAAAATCAGTATAATACTTTAGTACTTTGATGTGTCTGTCAGTACACCCAGTTTTAATTATAATCTATGAATATTTCTGTTTGTCTAGTTGTAACAATCAACACATGTTTTTAGAATCTAGATGTGCATCTTTTCAAGCACCTTTGTACTGACTAAACTTTCCCGCTAATCAAATTGTGTCCCCTGAATCAACCAAATTTAAAAAATAATCTTCACTACCTCATTACCATGATCTGTCTTTCTTTCACTCTCAGTTTATTATATAACCTATTTTTGTGTACGCCTACTGAAAAAAACAACAACCACATCTGCTGCAGTTTTTATAACCTGCGTGAGCATCTTCAGAAACATAATGATAATATTATTTAACTGACCCGTTCCTGCATAATGTTCCATTAATGGATCATGCAGTTTTATCTTTACTGTAAAAGTGATACAATAATTTGAACGAAAGTTTTAAGTACAAACCAATAGTGCACTGTATCTGCTTTGAAATCAACGTATCAATTTCCCAAAACAAAGACCCTTTTTCCAAGATGGCAGCCACAAGTAAAACACCCCGCCTAGCACGAAAATAGCCTCAAAAAAGCTATTAAAGTTTACGTGCACATTTTTTAAAGCTATTTTTTATGATTATCACTTACTTACTTACTCTCTCCGTATACCGTCAGATAAATAGGGCGGAGAGCTGCAGTGGACGCCACGCTTGTCTGTCTCTGGCCACTTTCTCCAATTTTGGCACATCTATGCCCTTGGTGATTGCCTCATATCTTATTGTGCCTCTAAGTTTCCAGTTGGTCTTCCCCGTTTTCTCTTTCCAGTTGGTTTCCAATGCCATGTCAGATAGGGCAATCTCGCCTTTGGCATTCTCAGAACATGTTCCAGATAACTCCATCTTTTCTTTTTTTTTAAATTGTTGTGCTGATATCTTCAATTCCAGCTCTTTCCAACACTTCATTATTTGTAATTCGTGGACATTTTGTTTGGAAGCTTTTAAATTTTCGTTGAATTGTTTTGTTTGTTTTCTGTATCTCTGAACCATACTACGTCAATACTCCTAAAATATTGCTACTAAATATGTTTTGTTTTTTCTTCAATTCAATAATATTTCACTTCCATATAGTTTTTAATTTCACAAAAGCGACCCAAGTATTTTTAAATCTTTGATGGATGTCGTTAAGGCTATCTGCAGTTTTTGGATATAATGCTGCTAAGGTACTTGAATTTACTAATTTCTGTAAGGGGTTCTCCGTAAAGAGTGATGAGCGTAGCTTCTGAGGATAGTTTTATGTTTTGGATACATTTATCATAAGGCCAACTATATCCGCAACTTTTGCTAACTCGTCTGTTTTTGATTGCATTTCATTTATTGTGGTGTTTAATAGGCAGATGTCATCCGCAAAATCTAGATCTCCTAACTATATGCCATTGATCCACCCAATGCCTGTTTCAGTGTATTTAGTATCATTGCAAAATCGATCATTATTCCGAATATTCTCAGAACAAACAGTTGATCTGTATATTTTATGATTATAAAGATATAATATCTTCTATTTAAGTCCCTTCGGTTATTGTTTCTTTTTCAAGGAATGCATTT